CATTTGTCACTATTTGCCCCACCCTATGGGTAAATAATGACACCCTATGGGACAATTACAAAATACATAATTCTTAGCTCCTAATCGATCTTTCTATTGACATTTTGATTAGATAAGGTAATTGATATTAATTTCTATACTCTACCATATGTAAATTTTTATTTATTGATAAATAATAGTAGTAACATTATTTGCTAGTATTTCTTGTTGAAAATTACATTTATTCTGAATCTTGCCTTAACTAATCTCATATTATCCCAAATGAATTAGAAAAATCATATTCAAATGTTAAAAAAGCTTTTTGACTTGTCATTATTTGCCCCAGGAGCTACTTTTTCTTTTAAAACTTTATTGAGAGAAATAAAATTAATATACAAGCATAGGAATTATATAAAAATAGAGGAAAAAGTACCGTATAACATAGAATAGATTAGATCTCATTCAACGATTCAGCAATTAAGAAAAGTAACTTATAAAATATCAAAAAAAGGTTTAGGTTTTATCTTATTTTACGAATGCAAAATTTTAAACTTTTCCGCTAGCTATATTTGGCTTTTGATTTTTACAGGTTTTTCAGAAGATGATTAGATGCTTGAGAACTGTCTTTCTATTAACGAGTAGTGATAAAATAGACACGGGAAAGAGGAGAAATTTAAAATGACATTATTTGCTTCCTGTCACTATTTGCTCCCCCCCCCCCTTTCCTTAAATTATTTTGTGTAGATCTGATGAACTAGATTTCTTTCTTTTTATTTTTCTTTAATTCTGCCTTACTTCTATTAATGTAATAAATTAGCAATATAAAACTTTTTCAACTTAATATAATCACATCATAAACAATCTTTACAAATTCATAACATAACATAAAAGAATCAAACTCGATTTTTTAAATATAGATCTATATTTAAATCAGCAAAAAATGACAAATATATATAATTAAAAAAAGAATAAGTATTTCTGTAAGCAGCTTTCACGTCTTTCAACTTTAAAAATAATTCGGGAGTGAGAGGATTAAAAAAGACGCGATAGTGAGCACAAGGGCTCGTCCTGATGGCGCACAGGATCTCTCACCTGGGACGAGACTTTTCTTGTTGTCCCTACACGAAGGTACGTTAAAGTAGTGGGTGTGACCGCGATCGTATCACTCAGGTTTGTTTAAATAATCGAACCTTTCGGGATCGGGCAGCGTATCTCCCAGTCGGCATCTGGCTAGCCAATATGTATGATAATTTTGACATGCCTACACCTCATAATAGGGCCCGACTATATGCCCGTCCTTGATTTCTGTTTCTTTGCTCTCATAGATATCTCTTGTCTCGCACGTACTGGAGAATCTTCAGCAAAAGTAAAAATCATAAATAAATAAAAAAATAAAAATGTTACGTTCTCTTGAAGGACGTCTCTTGAAAAAAGAAATCAATATACGTTTTGCATTCTTTCATTGATTATTTTTTTATTTAACCAAAGAATTTAATTCTTTTTGTGTCATATACAAAAATTATTTTAGAAAAATTCGAAAAGTATAATCTTGGATTCTGCTCAAATTGTTTAATTAAATTACTGCTTTTTTTTTAAATAATATCCATATTTGATATTATTTTTTTTAGAGATAATATAACCGGCAGTTGATAAATAAGATATCGAGCGTGTTTTGTTATGAAAGAACTGACATACTGACAGCGAATTCTCTACTTATATAAGTTTGTGCGCCCGAACGTCTGATGACAGCACGCGTCTGTGAAGTGAAATCGACCACGGGCAGTATCAGGAGCATGTAAAGCATGTTCCATGCCGACTCTCAAATCTCGCCGATTGTCCGTTACTATCTTGGTTTTACGCAAAATTTTTTATATTCGTTGTTAGTCCGGCTTCCTAATTATATCGAGTTAGAAGTTTGATTATTTTTCGGCGAAGTATGTTCAATGATGTTGCGAAAGCAAACGTCGATGTGTCGCGCGACTTTCTGCGTGCCTGTCACAGCAGTGACGTACATAAAGTGGAAACTCTGATTGAGAAACACGGAATTCGCGATTGGAGCGACTTTCGTCACGTGGCATCCGGCGATACTGCGTTGCACGTGGCCGCACGGCAGGGAGATATGAATATCGTGAGATATCTGTGCGAGCGTTTCGACATGCCAGCATTTAAAATCAGCGTTACCAACAAAGACATGAAGAGGCCATTACACGAAGCTGCACAATTCGCACAGGAAGACATTTTGAAATATTTACTGGAAAAAGGTACTCTATCGTGTGTTTTCTCTCTCTCAATTAATTATTTATATCATGATAAATAAATTTCAATCTATTTTCAATTATATATACGTGTAAGTTATATAAAAACAATTTATTTATTTTATCAGTACCTAATTCATTTTTTAAAATACATAAAATTGAATTGCCTTTTGTGGATCATATATTTGAAAACTTCATCTTGTAACTTTAATTGATAGCTTTAATTAATAGCATATAACTTTAATTAATAGCTTTAATTAACTTTAATTAAAGCTGTTGGTAACTTTAATTAATAGCATTAAATTTAACTGATTATATTATTTTATTTGAATTTATATTAGATTAATTAAATTATATTATATTATATGGATTTTTGTTTATGTCGCTAATTGTAAGTATACTATCGTTCGATCAATGAAGGTGCATCGGTAGACGCTTTAAAACGCGGCGACTGGACACCCCTTATGCTTGCATGCACCAAAACTGGTCCCGCGGCACGTCAATGCATCATAGCCCTTTTAGCCGCTAACGCTAACGCATATTTACGCAATAAAGACGGTTGGACGCCGTTGCTCATTGCCTGCCGAACTGGTGATGAAAAGGCGATTGATATATTGTTGAAACATTTGCCGAAATGCATCGACGATCGAAGCAACAATGGCCGTAGCGCGTTGCACAATGCAGGTAATTTATATACATATTTGCAAGATGTCGATTTTTCTCTAAATCTTTTTGCCATATAAGAAAAATTCGAATTACACAACTTTACAAAATTAGGAATTTAAAAAAATGAAGAAATTTGTGTTGAAAATTTGACATATACCTTTTAGGATTTAAGAATTTTATTTAAAATATCATAATTTGATTTTGAATGAAAAAGAAAGTATAGTATAAATTTTTGTGAAATGAAAATGTAAAGTTGGCATTATACATATACGTTGGATTTTTCTACTAATTGTTACACATTTTTCGTAATGTTTAAGAAACTTTAAACTATTTTCAAAATTTTATTCTGGAAGAGCTATATATAATCCTATACAATTATACATATAAATTTTGAAAATGATACTAACTTCACAGGAATTGCTATTATCTTCAGTAGAGAAGTCTATATCGAACTGATCGCAGTATTCAGATCCACAAGTAGTCAAGTGGTAACACGATTGCTTCACGAGTAATTTATCCACTGAAGTTGTAATTTGCTCTATTAATCTTTTATTGACTTGTTTTTTTTATAATTATAATTTAAGTATTATTATGACTTGTAACTGAAAAATGTTCTAAAAAAAATAAGAAAATCTAGGATTTTATTTTTAATTATTTAATAAAATATTTAACTTCAAGCTTTTTTCTACTTTTTTTATAATGCTAAATATTTAACATTATTATCTTTTTAATATGTAAATTTTTTCAAATAGGTTTATATCAGTATTCAATATTCTCTCTATTTTTATATTTTTATAATTTTTGTATTGCCAATTTAAATATGAAGGAAATATTAATCTTATAATCATAACTGTCATATCTTTGTTTTGGATTATATTTCTTAAAAAAGTTAAAAATAAAATTTTGAAAGTATACAAACTAGAAAGTGTCTTCTATCACATAATATGCAGGTAATTTTTTTCTCTATCAAATTATTTCTATAATAAATTTGGAATTTTGCAATATTTAATATTTTTGTAAGATAAATAAAAATGAGCGTTTGACAAAATTAGTCCCAATACCGGCAAAAATAAAAAAGAGCAAATAAATAAAACAGTTTTAGAAAAATACAAACAAATAAAACAATCTAATTAGGTCATATTGATATTAACAGCAATATATTCAATATTATTTAAACGACACAATTTGCAAAAGAAAATCACAAGTGTTATTTTTAGAATGTTTTTAGCTAATTTTATGTAGAAAGAAATCGCACATATATTAATTATGGATTTTTAATTACCTCTCTTTTTAAATTATCTAAACAAATAATGTTTTTATCAGTATTAATAATTAAATTAATTAATTAATTGCAATGTTTAGTTTCCAAAAAATACGTGAAAGTTTCTTTAAGACTTATGTCAGTATCGATGACTTTTCTTTACAAAAGAGAATTTAAAATGAATTTTAATATCTTTCATTAAATTGTTAATAATTGCTTTCAACTGCTTTTATTCAGTATTTATTTATTTCTGTTCATATCTCGATCTGTAATAATGTATATACCTCATTTCTTCAATTTTGATGCAGCATTTCATGGCCATGAGAGAGTGATTAACTTGCTCGTCGCGTCAAATGCAAATCTTCTGAATGCACGGGACTCTTCAGGATCCTCGCCGCTTCATGAAGCGATGAAGCATGGAAAGCTGAATGCAGCAAAGTGCATTGTACATCTGGGCGCCGACGTCAATCTCACAGACAATGTCGGTCAAACTATTCTGCACGTTGCCGCACTATCTGGCAACGCAGAGGCTGTTGAGTACATTTTGGAGCACCATCTGATTGATGTGAATTGCGAGGCTTCTTTTGGAATCACACCGCTGATGATAGCTCGGAGGAATAATCACAGCGACGTTATTCAAATTCTCATTAAATATAACGCTAAAGAATAAAGTATTTATACGTAAAAACTGTAATTATTTAATTTGTTATCTTTTCATAATTTTTCTCTACATATCTCTTGTAACCAACAAATCGCACGAGGTGTTAAAAACGTAATTAAGTCATTACGAGACATTTTTATCACTTTGATTCATATCTTTGCGTTTCTTATTATAAAATCTATACTCTATAAAATCTATTCCTTTCTGATATTTTTCTTTAAAAGAAAGTATCTATCTTTTTCGTGCTTTTTTATTAAAGTGGAATGATTTGATTTCCAATAATTACTTACTGTAATTATAATACGATTGAGGACAGGAGAAAGACTGAGGCGAGTGGAATTTTATTCAGAGATTGGTACACATTTATTTATCCTTTGTTTTTCCTTGTATCAGACAGTTTTAAAGAAGCATACAAAAATCAGGAAACGGAGGCTCTTATTAGTTCGGAGATACCTAGGCTTTACATTCTTCTTCATCCTCTACCTTTACCCTTCCTCCTCTGCTTCGTTAAACTTTCTTTCTTTTTTTAGCGTGCGCAGGCAGGCGACGTAGTACAGAAAACTCATGCGTGTACTGTTAAATGTGCGTGTGCTTAAACCCTAGAACGCTAACATGTTATTAGCAATTAGCATTAACACCTAATTGCGATACATGATCTCGAAACTTTGAAATCAGTAAAAAAAAAAAACAATTTGGGGAAACTAACAATTGCAATAATTAATTGCTCGTGCTACTTTTTTCCTAAAGTTACAGCATTTGAAATATGGAATTTCTATACGAGCTACGAAAGTACTAATCACGATGCCACAAAATGTTAAAAAGTTTTCATTTTTTTTATATCATAAATATATATAACTGTACATATAATTACAAAACAAAAAATAGATTGATGATCATCATTGATATAAACCTTATTTACATCATATTAAATGAGGAATGTATCAATAGAAGAATAAAGAAATTGGCATCTGAGAATGTACCGATGGCTCCTGCAGTTTAGCGTTCTAGCGTCAAGTATCATTTACATCACGAAGGAAAAACGTAAAAGGTAAAAATCACAGAGTTGTATGAATTATATGCGATCGCGTGGACCCTGGAAGTCCGCGATTCTCGCGGCTTTCGATTCGACGGCTTGGGAGAAGGAGATGGCCGGAAGCGGATTAAACCTTTTCCCTCTATTGACACTCTCTCTAAGTACCAGCAAACTTTAAATATCAGTCGTATAGCAGTCGCAGAAGAAATATAATATGGCTATTATTATTAACTATACTAAATACAGTATAGTCGTGTATAGCATAGTGTAATACTATAGTGCGCGCGACTCTTTAATATCGTCAGCTATACCGAGCAGTACAGTCAACGTCACCGTTCACACCTGGTCTCTGGGGCTTGGAGGTATCAATAGCAGGCTAGGAATTAATTTACGCTACCAGAATCACCGCGCGCCCGCTGCAGAGACCGTCATTTTGATGCCCCCATCGCGACCGCGACCGCGTTGAAAAAAAAAAAAAAAAGTGTGAAAACAAGAAGTGAAGTAATTCGCACGCGAAACTTTTGAACTCGCCCTCCTCTGATCTTCCCGCTCACCCGCTGCAAATCACAGGTATAAACACACGGGACGCAAGTGTTATTATATACTTCGTCGAAGAGGCTCCAAAATGTTTCGAATCGGCCGTCTGGGAGGGCGGCGATAAATCGACAGATGATTTTCAGCTTCGCCCGACGCATTCTCATCCCTTTTCACTCCGAAACGAAAGCTTATCCGCTAAGTATCTCACAGGACGAAGTTAAGGAGACTTATTAGAGAAGGGGTTCCTAAGTGACGGACCGGGAGGTGGAGCGGATAATAAAGGATCGTTACGACGAAAAAAGAAAATGTCTCGATTCTCGATTAAACGATCAATTAATCTGACGCCTGTTTTCTGCGGAAAAACGGAGAGGGGGGAGGGATAAGAAGGAGGGCTGAAAAGAGAGAGCAGTCTCGGGAAGGAGGGGGAAGAGTGGGAGGGAGGAGGGGAAGAGGGCGGAAGATATTTACATTTATAAAACGGCTAAGGATAAAACATGCACTGTACATCGTCTGTCCGTGTTCGATTAACGCCGCACACGCGTCCTCCCCTCATCCTTTGATCCTTTCTCGCGCAGCGATACACATGTGGACGAGTGTGTGCTCGACTACGTTTTGTCTCTCTTCCTTTTCACCTTTCTCCTTTTTTTTTTACTCGAGACACCCAGATCGTAATCCGTAAAATCCAAGGATCCGCTCTCATCCGAACTCATTTTCAAACATAAAACTACATCTCTCTCTCTCTCGTAAGATTCGGTCCGAATATAATTCCACGTTGAAAGCGAGTCACAAAGAGAGCGAAGGCTTCAGATAGAATTTTACACCTTAAAACATCAGATCCTCGCCCGGATCCTCTTCTTCGAGGGAGAGAAAAAAAAAGGGGGATTGCTTTAAATATAACTTTACATTTAAAATAAATATTGTAAATTCTAGCGAAAAGCGAAAAGGATCACTTTTAAATAAGAATTTCGCGTCCGAGATGGACTTTGCGAGTTTCGATCCCAACCGTCTCGTTTACCTCTCACTCTCTTTCTCTCTCCGTCGTCGGCCTACTTTTTTTTTAGTGGAGTTTGTTATAAATATCCAACGATTACTTGGGCTCTTTAATATTTTACTTCCTTCGCTTAGTTTATTTACACATTAACTAATACGCGTTGGGACTTAAGTTAAGATCCGCCTCGCGCGCGTCCTCCGCGCCGCGTCACCGATAATACATAATAGCTCGTAATAGCTTCGCTACTTACTAGATAAACTTATCCTAGGTATGCTTTCTTTCCCGCATCTATCCGGTCATCATCTCTCGCAGGGTCTCTCGCTCTCGGCTCTCTCTCTCTCTCTCTCTCTCTCTTTCGATCTCTCGCGCTCGCGCTCCACTTTACATTACAAGTATTCCAACATGTACAAAGCCCTATTTACATGTATGTACACACGGTTCTCGCACTCGGGAGTCCTTCGCGACATTGATAACGCTTCGCGTATATGCGTGTCCACGCGCGGTGTCCGTGTTCGTGCACGCAATAGAACAACTTCCAGTCGGGGGGGACACTTTCGAATTGGAACGCGGTTTCAGCAGTCCGCATTCTCGCCGCATGTCTCTCGCACTGAAGCACGCGCATATGCTGTGCACGCCGCGCGAGTTTACAAGCGATTAAGTTTGCAGACGTTTGATTTTCTTCGAGTCGTCCTCGCGACATTAAAGATGCGACCGAGAATGCGGGCCGTTACCCTCGTCCGACACACTGCTCGACTTTCGGGCCCGGCGACCGACCCCTTTCCTCCCTTCCTGGACTCGCACGAACGCCGAACGGATGGAATGTGGGTGCTTTCAACAATTGTCTGGCAATTATTCTTACGCGGCTGAGGCTCACAAGTTCCGCCGGTCGTAGAAAATGATACACAAGCTACCTCTTTAATTGCTCTCTGGTAAATCAGTCATGGCAGAAATTGAACTCTAAGTAGCTCGTACAGTACCGACTGGAGCGCAGCTCAAAAAATGTAAAATCTGATAAGGAAATGCGGCGTTAAATCAAATTTGTTCTTAAAAGAATGTCGGCAGCCTTATGTGTGTGTTGATTATACATATTAAAAGACTTTAAAAACTATTTAAAAAAATTTATATTTATTATGCTTTATAATGTTTTCAGAGGCGACTATCCTGATACACGATTGCCTGACGCAAGAATCTTAGTTTTTTTTATTAAGACATAACTAAATAATAGTTTACACATTTCGTGATATTACTCGCAAAAATTTGATGATAAAAATTAAATTTTATAATTCTGGAGATCTTACTAAGTTACTGATAAGTAATATTTATAACTGGTTTTCTTTAAATAATAATTTTTGCGTTTTTCTTTGTTTAGCATAATTTATGTCAATCTCATAAAAACATTTAAATTTTAACTTTGTGATATAATTTATATTGCATTTGCAGAGATTAAATTACTTACTATCCTGTCGCTTTTCTGCGAATCTCACAGCAAATAAAAGTCGCCTCTGATATTCGAAATGTAATATATGATGTGGTCGTTCCAATTAATGTAAGAAGTGAGCGCAGAGCTCATAAAATCATGTAAACTTTCACGTAGTGAGGGCAAACAACGTCTGTAAAGGCTACCGATATGCTGACATTTCCTTGTGTTGGATACTTGAAAAAAATCATTAATGGACACGTACTTCGGAACGCCGGAATGAGCAATTATGTCTTAACAACTGCTCGGGACACATTTACACACTTAACATAGCTGGTACCCCTATAACGCGATTATCACTATTACAATTCTCCTACATGCGTGTTTCTCATGAGCGAGAAATAAATCAAGCAACCACGAAGTCGTGACATAGCGGACAAAGATACGTTGAACTTATCACACTCGCCGGTGCAATGTCCTCCTTAAATTAAATTACTATTCCGTTACAGTTTGAGTTAAATAAGCGCGTCAAATTGATCCTGCTAACTTCCGACTGAATTAAATTCCTTTTTACATTTTCTTTTATGTTAAAAACGAATTGCGTCAATGTAAAATAAATTGAACGTTCAGATTTATAGAAGAATAAACGTTTCTCTCGCACAAGGAAATCGTGACTTTAGGTATTTGCAAGTATTTAATTATCATAGATATATATATTATATATAGTCCACTCAACGTAATTTCATCCACAATGTACCACATTAAGAAGACCGTCGAAGCTCGCTTTCGACACTCTTCTCGTCCGACGAAGATCACCTCGTGGTTTCCGCCGTCGAAGACGAGGGATGGTTGGAGAAACGACAAAACTCTCCCACTCGACACAATTTCCGCTCGCGTTACAAAACACTCGGGGATGATAAAAATAAATAGCGCGCGCGCGCGGGATCCCTTGGTTACACGATTAGCTTAGCTCACGCCTTCTTCACGTACACATACACGGTTTTGTTTTAAAAAATAGTAAAAAACAGTGACTAAGTGGTTTCGCGCAT